AGGATTCAAATAGATGGGATTTAACAAAACAAAGACAGAAATATCAGTTCGAAGCATACTGCATTGGTATATTCAGTAAATTCCATGTCAGTGGGCTGTTGTTCTCCTCTTCTAATAGTGAAGACTGAAAATTTCGGTTTAATAATACTCTATTTTTATTCTAAATTTATTTCAGTCCTTTTTATTTCGTTGTGTTCTCTGAGCTCGTTGATTTAACTGCGAAGCTTTCGTTGTTGTAATGGACATCTCCATCGCAAGCCTATATATATAGAGAGAGATGTTTTCGGCTCGCTATTTCAAAAGTATTTTGTTGAAGTGAATCCACAACAACTAGAGAGACGTCGGTAAGCAGACAGAGTTGAACACCAGTTTATCACATACACGACTACATACAAGATTGTTCAAAAGACAATTAGATTTCAACTCTTCCTATAGATAGCGGAGCAGAACTATCTGTCAGGTTGGAGAAACCATGTCAGAATTAATATGTGCATCGTACAGTTTGACTGAATAGGAAAAATTATATCCAGAATTTTTCTCTGAAATTCGGATATTAGTTCTGTTAAATTTACAGTCCTTATAAGATCTGTGTTTCTTTTAGATCTAAGTCAATGATAGTGAATTTATAAGCATTTACCAAATGATCAAACAGATGAATCATACTGTATTTAGCATCTGAGACTTTCAAAACTTCACAATCAATAAAACTTGGAAACACACTAAGATAAATTCATTCTTCTCTCACTACAGTAGTATATTTACCGTAATGCTTCCTACAGTATGTTGCACATTTTTCATTTTACTCCCTTCCAATTGCGACGATGCGGACTCCAACTGCAGAGTATACTACTTATTCTTTTAGGTTGGTATTGAATACTGACTGTTTTGCCCTGTCTTATAACCCTATTTTCAAGACTTGTGGCTTTTGTTTCATGCTATACATACGTTGACAATAGTTTGATCCGGAAGTTATCATATTCAATTGCTTTAGATCCTAGGTTTTTAATATCTAAATCACACTAACTTCAATGCTACGGTTTGATCATTCACAGTATTCTTTCTTATTTTCTGAAACCCATAGTTACTTCATACAGTTTGCATCTCATGGGATTTTGTGAAATAAGTTGATGTTTCCATGATACGAATTTCTTTTATACTCTCGCTTCATGGAGGAAACTGAAAGTATTGGGGTTTCGCCCAGACTAACTGAATTTTAAGCGTAGAATTTCGTATAGAAATACAGCAGTCGCAGTTGTTACTCTTCATAAAATCTCCGATGAATGTATAGAATAGGAACGCAAACAAATTACAAGAAACAGAATTGTGCAGGATAAATAATGCAGACTTAATGAACCACGAAGACTATGAAGTGATTACATATGTGCCACTTGGAAGGAGTTTAGCCATGTCACTAATATTCTTCAGTCACTAGTTCTTAGGCCTCGAAGACCCCACTTCAGGCTGTCGACAAGTTCTGACGTTGTTCAAACCAAAAATCAGTGGCTTCGTTGGTTGTTCTCTTGGTCGCATAATTTCTCACTCTAGCCCAACCTATTTCATTATCACCTAACATTGACTGTTAAGTCAATGGAGTGTGACACATATCCTAACTACTCAGTCGAAGCAGTTTCCCAACCCTATCGATTGATTCGCCAATCTCACGTGACCTCATTATTACAGACCACATTAGACAACTCAGCAGGAAAAACTCAGAGCAAACTCTTGATAACTTCCACTTTCAAATTCTGTCTCGCAGTCGTAGAGTGAGACGGGGCGGACTGTCACGAAATGCATACTATATGATGGAAAAGTGTTTATCAAGTCTGCACCAAAGACAATTCAAGACAATTGTATTTGCACTCAGGTTCTGCTAGTAATCCGTCTATTATGGTCGATGTAACTTCATAAATAAATGAAGTGATCGACACGCCCAACTATTACACCAACCATCCTAAAATTAGGAGTTGGTGCAGACCGGACCACATCAAAATTGATTCATTGATGTACTTTGCAGACTTATTAACAGCAAAAAGCTGAGGAAAAATCTAACATCAAAATTTTAGCCGTAACGCTGAACTTTTACATTCACCTAGCAACCCTGGCCTATCAGACTCAGTGTAGTTTCTACGAAAAATTATAATAAATTCCTTCTCTTTCTCAATATAGATTTTTAAAGACATTCGCAATGCCGTGAAATTTTAACCGAAATGGCTATTAGCTGACGATGGGATGAAATTTTGCACCGCTGACCAGTCAACCAAGTAAATGATACGTGACGACATTATAACTGCTAGTTTTGAAGAAACGTATGATTATGGGACCCAAAAAGAATTGAACCTTGCGAGTCTCCTATAAACACCCTTGCCGTCGTCACTGACCGGAGTTTCACTTACTTCGGAAGTGGCAAACGACAGAGACTGTATTAAGAACACGTGTAGGAGACTCTTGAGCACTCTGGATATGCAATCATTGGCAAGTCATGACACTTGTATCCCACGTTTGCTGAATGTTACTAGCTCAACTACTGACGATGACGACTGGTAGATAAAGAAGAGAGTACTCATAAAATCTGCATGAGCAACAGTGCAATTCTATCCGGAAATTAATTTCAAAAACAACATTAGGGATTTGAAAATGCAGTCCCATTAAGTCTTAGTGAACTATAAATCTAATACCTCAACCATTACTGCCCATCTTGAACATAGCTATAACCCATGTAAACGGTGACCTTACTTCATAATCGAAAACTGAAGTGCACTGCCCACATTTTGCTGTAGCGCACCACTAAAATGATTTAGTCAGTGCTTAAATTTTTTTTATTTCAGCTTGATTCCACACCGTATTTTTTGGTACAAGTATGGAATTTTCAGCATGTGGTATCGGTAGCCCAAATTTTGCAGGCTGACTATAGATATCAGGTGTGCGTCGGTAGGGGATCAAACCCCGGACCATGTGCATCGTCAGCGAGTCCTAACCACTGTGCCACTCCGAAGATTCATCAATCTCTCGTGGAATGTCAGTAAGATTTTGTCCTTCGCTTCACACACCGAGCTCATTTTCCTTAATAAGGCTAAAAAGCTGACAGGTATTGAATGTTGCTGAAGCTGTTTATGCTTCCTTAGCTATCCACCACTTCGCGATCATTGTCCAGATTTAGCCACCTTAATTTTCGGTAGCATTTGCTCGTAGTCATGTCTACCGAAATCACAGCAAAGTGAGCACTGAAAATGTTCTAAAGTACAATGAGGGCACCAGGATTAAACTATCCAGCCCACAAAACACGACCACAGCAAAAAGCCTCCACCTGAGTCATGGATCATCATTTTAAATCCAGTGTCCCTTTTTCGTGGGGTAACGTTACCAGATGACTATATCTGAATGCGTTGACCTAACCAGTAAACCGGAAAGCCACTGATTTTATACCTCCGAACCTGATAGCACACGAGAGCTAGTTAGATAATTACTTGACATCTATATCGTTAACTTCATTATTTGGATGGTGTGTATGCAGCGGAAATACTACATACATTCATATCTCTAGATGTCATTCTTTTGGATGGATTGTCCGACTTCGCATGGTGTCTAAACGTTGAAACCTTCGATGTGACGTCAGTGGAGTGGTTTTAAGAGATTAGGGACAGTTTTCCGCTGCTTTAAGTTGCTAACAGTGGTCGAAAATACAGAGGCAAAGAAACTGGCTAGGGGACTATATCACCACTGAAAGAAAAGCATAATGAAAATCTTAGACGAACAATGTGACTTTGTAAACTTATGTAAGCAAGTGGGCGGTAAATGTTTCCCGACTGTCCAGTCTCTGGAATCTGTTTCTTCTTCGAGTAATTGAAAGGATTAAATTAGTGACTGCAAGGAGACATCATGAATCGCACTCGACCCAACAATGACTTTAAAACCTACCAGGATATACTGTAGCGTAACTGGTCACAAAAGAATCTACGGGAGATCAGGAACCGTTTCCCGCAGTTGGAAAGCGAATGGAAAACTAACCTATTGTCCACAACATTCAAAATAATGTTAGAGTATGTGTATCCACCACTTAGGACGTTGCTATCAATAGTCAACACCACAAAGCTATTAACTTCACTCTAGGACTGCATAGTGCCCGAACCTCCACATATTAAAACAATAAAAGCGTTCACTTAAGTTTTACAAGGACTAAGTGAATGTTAACAGTGAAATGCATTTAAAGAAACCTTACAGACCAATACTGTTTGTAACACAAAAGAAATTTGTTCTTGAGGGTCCTAAAGTACATATTAACTAGTTAATTTAGTCTACATTGCGAATTTCGACCAAAAGAAGAGTCATTTAGCGAATCTCAATACACTCTACACATTACGACACAGATAGTTAATCTAGATGACTGACTGTTTAACATGACTTTTTCTCAAGTGCGTGGACACGAATATATATGTCGAGTTGAAAAATTTGTATTTCATCCACTTTACTAAATAAATTTTATGAAGTAACCTTAACGCAAATGTGATACCTCAACCTGTGATATTTGTGGTCCGGTTCAAATGTAATTCTTCAAAGTCATTAACGGGAATACTGAAGTTAATAATACTGTTTCAGAAATAACTAGAGCAATGCAGCTTACTGGTTCGTGGTCTGAATTTCTCATTTTTAAATGAAGTAGGACCACGTCCAACTCACCATAAAACTTCTTGAAATTATATAGACACTTGACCATTCAAAAGATTTTCAGTTATCGAGCCAAATGAGCAAATACTAGCATGATATGAGGTTAAACCTTAAATACAGGAATTGCAAGTAATGAACACTGCGGAAATATACCAAATAAGACAACCTACGTAATCTAATCGGAAACTGCACAATCAAGAAACCTAATGCTTCACAAATGTAAGTTACTGGTGGCTATAATATGCCTAAAATGCAACACTTCACAACTACTGTTGGTAAAATTGAAAATCTAAAGAACGACCCCTAATTGCTGAGAAACAAAACACGGAATCTATTTTGCAATCAAAACGATTTTAGGAGAATGAGAACATACATAAAACATCAATAAATTATGCACCAACTACTGATGCACTACCATCTTTGTATCAAAATGAAACAAAATTATTTATTGAGACTCATCAGAATTTGATTCAGACTCGCTGGAGGTCGAATCTTTCGATTTTGATTTTTCACTTTCTTTTTTAGCGTCTGCGTTTTCGCCTTCTGATGATTCTGATGAGTCATCATCGGACTCCGTTTCGGACTCTTTCGCCTTTGTGTCTTTTGACAGTACTTCTTCACTCTGCTTCTTAACATCTGGTTCCTTGCTTTCTGATGACTTTGACGAATCGCTATCAGACTTCATTACAGACTGTTTGGTCTTTGAGCCCGCAGATGACGAATCTTCAGAAGACTTATGCACACTAGCTGATGAGCCACTGTCAGACTCTGTCTCTGACCCCTTACTTTTAGATTCCTCGGACGAGTCTTCCGAACTTTCTTCATCAGAGTGCTCTGCATTCTTTGCTTCACTTTCAACTGTTGCTGATTCTTGTTTTACGCATTCACTCTCTTCGGCAGTTTCAATCTCTGGGTTTTCAACATCCTTTGCATTCTCTGGAGCATTGGAGGTTTCCTTGCCTTCGACTTCGTTTTCCTTGTCATTTTTCTCACCTGGTTCTTCCTTATCGCTGTGATTTTCATCCTCTGAAGTGGCATTACCTTTTGCTGCAGACACGTCAGACTTGTCACTGGTAGATTTCTGCAAGGGTAAGTATTACTACTGATAGAAGTACCTCAGACTTTTCACTTTCAGAATCTGCATCACCATTTTCATCCTAAAATTTAATACTGTACATTAGCTTCGATAAAGCTATCTACACCAGAAATTCATGCAGCGCATGCACACAAAGCGAGGGAACCATGCACGAAGATTTCACATGGACAGTACCTCACCGTCATTGTCATTTACTAACGCTCTAAACGGTTTCTAAAATATACCATAGAAGTCGAAATTTTATCTTACAGGTTTGTCGCCAGGGAGCTTTAGGAATGATTCAAGTTCCTCCATTTCCAAAGCCTCGTAAAATTCTTCATAACCCTGAAAATGCAACAGCAGAAGGTGCACTAACTCCAAGGTACTCCTCATCCTGAAAAATATGTGGTGGAACAAGTGATTTCTCTTTTTTCTTTAACTCTTCAAACAACGTAAGTTTTTCTGACTCCCTCGAAGCATCTGATAGATCGACTTCTTCAAACTCAACCTTTTTAGAACTTAACAGTGACAGTATTAAAGCCTGTTCCTTCTTCACCTGAACACCCATTCATCACTGTTCGTTCTGCCTTACCTTCAGATTTCCAGACAGTGTGCTAATGTACACTTTTACCACCATTTTGTAAAACGCGCCTAGAAGGACTTATTGCTCGGTCTCCAATGTCCACTATTCGTAGGTGGGTTGTCGGCTGGACTTATTTATCACGTAATGTTGAATTCCTCTTGGAAATTTTTTGCCAACAATTTTCAATAAAATTGCGTTATATGTTATCTATATTGATGGAAATTCCCATTTTGGGCAAGTTATGTTGGTGTCCGCGTCATGTGATCTGACTGCGACACACTTTTAGCATATTGGTTGCAATGATTAGTGTTTCAGGTGGACCGTATCAAAATATCGGTGTAATGAGGAAGATAGGATAGCCATTTACACAAATCGTTTACTCCATGTAGAAGCTGCACCTTTCGGCATAGTATCAATCAATGAAGACTTCATGTCTCAGGTTTGTAATCTATGAAATGCTTGGAATAAACCATTCCACAACGACCTAATATCGTTTTGGATACATTGCCAGGAAGCGCTGAAATTTTATCCTGTGACAAAACTCTACGTAGTTTGCAGGTCCCAAGCCCGTGTAAACAGGGTGTTGGGTTTGGGGGTAGCAATCCTATACCACAATAGCGATCAAGCAGTTAGAGAAACTTCAACACACAACGAATATAAATAAAAGACTAATTATTCGCCGGAATCGGAGGGGGGAAATGACACAGTGGGCTGGTTTCCTTCGGGAAACAAGACGGCCGAGGTGTCTTCTTTCTATGAAAGCAGGAATAAGAATTGGTACGTTGGATGTCCGAACGATATACGAGACTGAAAGGCTGCCAGGGTAGCCATCGAGGTGCTGGATATCTGCGAAAGCAGATATAATGGATATGTATTGACAACATGTTCAATGGCAGAGTCAGTAACCTACTCACCCAGACGACAAACATGAGCAGAATGAGGCAGACAAGAAGGAAGATTTTCACAGACGACTACGAACGGTAATGGACAACATCCAACATGATGGCATCAAAATCATCATGGGCAATATAAATGCAAGCCAAACCGCGAGGAGACACTAACACAGGAAGAGAACTCATCATGAGTCGAGAAGCTCTCGCTCGGCGAAATTGAGCATTATTCGTAGACTTCTGTACTTTCAGCGACTTTGTAACTAGAGGTAGCGTGTATAGACACGAAGATATACACAAGACCAGTGACGTGGATTTCGCTTGATGGACACACCACAAACCAAAAAGATTTCATATCAATGCTGCTGATGGAAGTGGGGACGCGGAAAGTGTCAATGTAGTTGAAGATTGAACGATCAATTCTTGGTTGTTTGCTCAAAACCAACTTCCCCAATTTTCGCGGAGGCATCAATACGACAGTCATTCTCTCATCGGTCGCTGTTCAGAAAGAAGTCGGGAGAAAACCGTCAGAAGTAATATTGTGATTTATTATTGTAATATATGTTCACAGACCTTAGTTGTGAATCCTAGTTTAAAGCTTAATTTTAAAGTTGGCTATATGTTGGTGTCAGTCTCGTCTCATAAACCGTTAATGCCCAGCTCTCGCTACGCTCGGGCCCACGCTGTTCTTAGAAGATTTCTCAGAAACGCTTAGTTGTAACGGACGCAAAAACAAAAACACCGATCTGCTGCTTGTTATTTCTTTATTGTTACACCAACATATAAAAGGAATAAACGAACTAAGGTCTGAAAACAAATATTACAATAATATATCATTTTATTACTTCTGAAGATATTTTCCTCTTCTTTTTGAACAGTGACCGATGAGACGATGACTGTCGTATTGATGCCTCCGCGAAAATCGAAGAAGTTGATTTTGAGCAAACAACCAAGAATTGATCGTTCAATCTTCAACTCCATTGACACTCCTCGGCAAAAAAGGGATCCAACACTTTTTTCCTTCACGATCAATGCACGTTGACTTGGATGCCATTGCGAGAACCTGGGTCACACGGACAGAGCTGAAATGGAAAACAAACAGAAAAGCCAACACACCACAAGCATACCCACAGCACAATCTCACACATCAATGACGACCTGCGCCTCCAGACAGAGACCTCCTCTTGACATCTTCCAACACAATCGCCACTTACTAGAATGACTCTTGCAGAATGCAACGTGACCATAGCAGCACCTCATGATACTCTTCAAGCATCCTCTTTTCTATTCACTATCAATTATCACTGAAATCGCTTGTCACTCATTCTGCCTCAGTTCTAGTAGCGGTGACGCATGCGAGCCTCAGTCGTTTACACTCTTTCTCCCCGGCGTGTCGGACCGCAGCTAACAATTATCCCCGTATACATTTCATTCTCAGCACTAGCCTAGCCTCCCCGGCGTATACGACCCATCTGCTGTCCTTAACATCAATCAATTCATTCACGGATGTAGAAGAGTGGCCACAACTTCAGAAGTAATCACGACGAAAATTTTAACAAAATTACGCGATAACAACAAGATACGAAAACAACAAGTAAACACAATGAATCCAAAAAAAACCAACTGATATGACACACCACACATATATACAAATAGTACAAATAACCTCGCGGATCATGTCTTGGTGGAATTACTTTGAAGAATTGCAGGACTTACACCAGTACGCCTGCAACCCTTCACAGGTTGACGATTGTAAGTTGTGGAATGTCCAGACACAAACAAGAATAACCAACAATTACATCAATTGGAAATCACACAACTATTTAACACAAACATATGTACAATCAACACATCAAATGTTGTGGATTCCGGCATGACAATCTACCCTTGAAGAACTGTAGTACTTACAGCAGTACGCCTACATTCCTTCTCAGGTTGATGATCCAAGTGGAAGTCGTCCGGACACAAACAGAATTACCAACAGCTAGATGACAGATTATATCAATTCAGTATATACAATATGAACATATGTACAAGATCACACACCAAGCACATTGGACTGCTCATTGATGCGCTACCCTTTGAAGAACTGTAGGACTTACACCAGTACGCCTACAACCCTTCTCAGGTTGACGCCCTAGGTTGGAAAATCGTCGACAACCATAGTCATTGCACAAGATACTTGAGTTGATGGGTGTCTGTTTCATTGTGGATGACAGCACCAACGATGACTGAGTGACACAAGGTGATGAACTTAGTGGTGGATCAGAAGCTGTTCTTGTTCGGCTCTCAGATAGTTGTCCAACTGCAAGATTACCACCACTGCTGTCTTTCACTACTAGTTCGGGTTTAGCACTATCATCTGATGATAGGTGGGCTACACGCTGATCAATTACACTGACTGTCTCACAAGTATGCACACCTTTTGGAACTGCATCTGCGTTCAATTCTACTTCACGTTGTAGTTGTACAGAACCTTTATTTAACTTAGCAGTAGTAGGCATATCCCTCATCTCATAATGATCAACCAAAGACAACTGTGAAGTATCATGATCATTATCACGAATATTCACTTTACCGTCAACTTCATCATTTTCAAACTCTTTAATAACAGAAGTAGACAATTTTGGTTCCTCCTCGCAAATCATAAAAGGTTTTATAACTTCACTCTGACTAGTAATACCTTGTAAACTTGTAGAGTCAGAACTCCACTCTGAAGCAGTAACTCTATTCTGTGACACTCTATTCAACAACGGCTTACCAGTTGCAACTACAGACTTCTTCACGCACCGTTATCGTCACACAATTCGGAGTCAGACCTGGAGTTTACATTTAGCTTATCACTGAACTTGCTCACCGGTTCACAGTTCACTTCTGTATGCACCTCTTGCACACGTGTAAAACACAACCGTGTTTGTCTTGCATCTTGTAACTTATCTGTTGAGGATGTACTACGAAACCTGTTACACTCACTAGGTCTATATGCATTACTAGACATCATGGAGCTTCTCGATATCCACCTCTCTGAGGCCTACTCGTCATCAATGATTGCATTTTGATCTCAGACTGCTCTATTCTAGGGGTGAGATCTAATAGACTGGCGAACTTGCTCATAGATTGATTGACACTAGTATTTACCAGTTTCAGGATATCATCAAACTTTGGCTCGATACCCTCATCCTCCATACGGGAGCTTATCTTCACCCACTTCCTTTGCAGTCGAGTAGGTAGACGTCTTGCTATTACTTCTAGTATAAAACTCGAGTTGAGGTCACTCATTCGATTCATCGAAATCATTCCATTCTTGTAAATTAGCAAATTATCTAAAAACTCAGTGAGTGCCTGGGAGTCATCCTGTAATTGACCACCATTACCCTTAACAGCCTCGAATAATTTCCCTGCAATCATCGAAGGTCTTCCAAACCTTTGACGTAATATGCTCATAGCCTCATCGTAGCCCTCTTTTGGCTTCATAAACTTACAACACTGTATAGCTCTTGCAGCATCTCCAGTGCAATATCTCATCAAATACATTAACTTCAATTCATCATTTAATAAAAAACCACTCAACATGATCTCAAACTCCTTTACAAATTGTAAATAATCAGCCGGGTTTCCATCAAAACATCGTGGTTCAAATTTAGGGAGTTTGATGTTCCTATTATCCCTGAACGGCGAAACAGTAACATCAACCATGTCATGCTTAACATCAGACACATCGTTACAATTAACAGACAAGTCACCATGACTTACTTTCCTGTTTGCATCCAAGACACTCTGTCCCTTCTTTGACCCAGGCATTGTTGAACTTGACCCAATTCCAAAAAAGTTCCAGATATTGCTTGTTCAAAGAGGACTTGACCGGCACCAGGAAAAATGAACGGCGACTATCCAAACTTTCACCAACTGTTTGAATCCGCCAGATCTGTTTCTATCGTCAGAAACTGTCAGTCACGTCTCATAAACCGTTAATGCCCAGCTCTCGCTACGCTCGGGCCCACGCTGTTCTTAGAAGATTTCTCAGAAACGCTTAGTTATAACGGACGCAAAAACCAAAACACCGATCTGCCGCTTGTTATTTCTTTATTGTTACACCAACATATAAAAGGAATAAGCGAACTAAGCAAACTAAGGTCTGAAAACAAATATTACAATAATAAATCG